ATAGCCCACCCCGCCCCCCTGTACCTGCCTCAGTCCCATAGCTCTGGAAAGTTGTTCACCCCAAGTCCAGGCATTCATCAAGAGAAACTCTCTTTTTATAATAGCTTTATTAAGATATAATTTACATTCTATACAATTCTCTCATTCAAAGTGTACAATTCAGTGGTTTTTAGTATATGCACAAAGTTGTGTAACCACCTATCTAAAAGGAACCCGGTGCCAGAAGTCATTCCCTATTCTCCCCTCCTTTCAGCCTCTGGCAACCACGAATTTACTTTTTGCCTCTATGGATTTGCCTGTTATACACATTTCATGGAATCATGGAATCACATGGTATTCGGCTTTCTGTGTTTTTCACTCAGCATAATGTTTTCAAGATTCATCCATGTTGTAGCATGTATCAGTACTTTATTCATTTTTATGGCTGAATAATATCCCATTGTGTGGATGTCCCACATTTTGTTTATCTTTTTATCAATTGGTGGATATGTAGGTTTTTAAAAAAATCTTTTGGCTATTGTGAATGATACTGTTATGATCATTCCAGTACTAGTTTTTGTGTGGACACCTGTTTTCAGTTCTCTTGGATTGCTGGGTTAAATAGTAACTCTATTTTTAACCTTTTGAAGAACGCCAGTCTGTTTCCAAAGTGGCTGCCCTACTTTATCTTCCCGACAGCAGTGTACTGCTGGGGGTCCCAGTTTCTCAGCAACTTTACCAACACTTGTTATGGTCCATCTTTTTTTCACTGTTGCCATCCTGGTGGGTGTGCTGTGGTATCTCATTGTGGGTTTGACTTGTATTTTCTAGCTGAGCATCTTTTCATGTGCTCATTGGCCATTTGTATATCTTCTTTGGGAATGTGCATTTAGATCTTTTGGCTATTTTTAAATCAGGTTATTTGTCTTTTTTTTTTTTTTTTTTTTTTAGTTAAGGGAGTTCTTTGTGTGTTCTGGTTACCAGTCCCTTATCAGATAGATGATTTGCAGGCATTGTCTCCCATTCTTTAGGTTGTCATTTCACTTTCTCGATGGCATTATTTGCAACATAACAGTTTTTAATTTTGATGAGGTTCAATTTATCAATTTGAGAAAACTTTTCTTTTGATGTTCCTTTCTAATAATGTTTTTGGGTAATTTTTTAAAACCATTTTCAGCAGCCTTATCCATGTAAATTTATGCTGACTAAAGCAAAAATGCATTAACTTATCATTTAAACTTATAATAGGTTTAAATTCTTACTCTCTACCACTAATAATAGCATCCCTATTTCCCCCACATGAGCACCCTAATTGATGAGGACAATTAGCATGTGTTACTACTCATGCAATGTGAAAAAACATGCTTATCATGAAAGAATACCACATGTATGGGTGGAGTTATCTTGTTCGTTTAAGTCTGTGCGTGGAAAACGCATTATCTATCTTCTAAACAAAAAGAACCATTTTCCACCCTCACAGTTGTGGGGCTCAGGCTTGTTACCCTTCGAACCAGGAGCTTAGGTTCCTTAGCCTTTCCTTTTCCCTTCCTTTCAGTGCCCTTCACGCTGCAGTTAATGCTCAGCTGGTTCTAGTAGAAAATATGAGCGGGTCTTGGGGTTGGGTTATAGAGTGTTGGATACAGAAGAGCCTTGTTCCTGAAACCACCCCACTGTGGGCTGACACAGTGCTTTATCTTGTTTCCTCTGATCGCCCTAAGCTGACTCTGCCAGCCAGCCTTCCAGAGTTCTCGAGCTGTTCCTCTCTGGATTCCAATGCAACCCCTCTGTTCCAGGTCATGACGCTCCACCGAGTTAAGTCTGTTAGCCTGAGGGGTTGTTTGCCTAAATTTTGTCTAACAGAGCCTCTACGGTCTCCTCATCCCAGGCCTCGTTCCCTTTGCCTAGGGAACTTGTGCTCAGATCCGCTCAGCTCTGAAGCCTCCCCTGGCGGGTCTTCCATGGGTCTCTTCAGCCCTTCAGCCTGAGTCAAGTAACCTCTTTCCCTGGTTCCTGGCTTCTCAGTGCTGCTCCAGGTCACTGTATCCCGGCCTCCTCTCATTCCTGTCTGTCAGTGAATGTAGACCTCTCATGAAGTGAGCTTACCTAACCCTCAGCTTTACCTCCATTTTCCTTCGAGGTGTGTCCATGGGGCATCAAGAGCTAGCCTGGTCTGCGAATAGGAGTAAGAACCGGGACAAGAACTTGTTTTTTTATAGAGCCAGGTTGTGACGGATTTAGGCCAAGAAAAATTGGACCCCACTTCCATACCCAAGAAAGGATATTTATTCATGTGTCACCTGTCCCTATCCCATCGCCACCAAGAAAATAAAACAAATACGTTTAAACCCACACACAAACCAAGCACACCTTTAACCTCTGATCGCAGTGCCATTTCTCACGGATGTGTAAGGGCAAAGAATGAAAGGTCTACAGAATGACAGGTCCTGTTTCAGTTCATGCATTGCTGCCCTACCAGGAGGTGAGAGCCTTTGGAGTAACATGGGCCCCCCTGCTTGATCTTGTCAGAAAGTGTAAAGCCCCAGTAGGGCTGTTAGTCTTTTGCCCATTGTTCACCTTCCCTGCGGCCACCACCAATTCCCTGACATAAACTCTATTTATTATGTATCGCCAAGCAGAAATACAGTATTGATCGTGTTCACTTAAGCAATAAACCTTCCCATAAATCCAAGTCAGCTCAGCTGAACACGCTGATCCGCAGTGCGTCCTGAGGTTTCCGCCACTGGCAGGCGTCTGCGGGAACACCACACGCTTGGTTTTCTCAGATAGAGACCCTGAGAGAGCACAGGGAGGCTCTCGGACTCCCATAGTCCAGGAAGCGAGGCTTGTTCCTGAGACTCAAGTCCATACCGTGGTCTCCCCTCCACCCCCGAATTGGCCGGTCATCCCTTTTCAATCTTCTTTTTTAGATTTTCCTTTTTATTGAATTCACTGGGGTGACACTGGTTAACAAACTATACAGGTTTCGGGTGCACGATTCCACAACACATCACCTGTACACTGTATTGTGTGTTCACCAAGCCAAGTCAAGTCTCGTTCCATCACCATTTATTCCTCCTCTACCTTCCTCTACCTCTCCCCACTCCCCCCTCCTCCTGGTAATCACCACAGTCCATGTTTATGAGTTTTTCTCTTTTTTTCCTTTTTTGCTAAATCCCCCCCCCCCCGAGCTGTCAGC